TAGAAAAAAGAAACACAATAATTCGCCAAATGTTTTGGCAGAAGAGATTATGGTGCTCAAAACACTGTACAAATTCATGATTCTCATGCTACTATAATTATAAGTTCATACTAATTAGTAATTTATTGTACCCACACCTACAACTTCTGTTTAATTATTTAATTAAGCAGTTTAATATGGATACTGCAAAATGGGGAAATTTGAAAGCACTACAAATTCTGGATTTTTTGCTTAGCGAAATGTTATATCAAATAAACAAAAAACGCAAATAAAAATTGGGCATACCAAGTTTCCAGGGAGACAATAATTTTGTGATTACTTGCTAGTGTGAAATATCAGTCAGAAATCATAGTCTGACTTATTCACATCCTTGATGGTTACTCTTACCCTCTAGTATTATGGCAGACTAAAAGATTGTCTCCTCTATTGATCAAGTATTGCCGTGCTTATCATTGAACTCAATCACGTAAATATACAAATATTGGTAACGACCGTTATATTAAAAGCACATCTCTTACAGTATTGAACATAAACCAAAAATTTTATTTATTATAAACTGGTTCATTTAGACACCTCTGAGATTTAATTGGCTAAATAAAATAGTGTGTTTTTTGGAAACTAAAAATTGAGTAGATAGGCAAGTATAACATAGTATTTTATCACATTATCACCTTAGTACCTTGTTATCCTGAAAAACATTGAGATGCGCGAAAATTTAACTAAATTCCGCCTCAGTGACCATAACTTGAAAATTGAGACTGGCAGACACAAAGGAATACCCCTTGCTAATAGATTATGCAACCTTTGTGATCAAAATGAAGTAGAAGATGAGTATCACCTCATGATGTCATGTAAAAGATATACCCCCGAAAGAAATGTCCTATTCAAAATGGCAAAAACCAAAATCCAAAACTTTAAAAATTTGCCACCAAAGACACAATTCATAGCCTTGCTAAACAACAGTGGCCTAACACTCCCCGTAGCAGGGTACCTAAAGAAGTGTTTTGAAATAAGACAGCAACCCCAGTGACAACCTTCTTTCACTATTTAAGTTTTGCATTTTGTTTTCTATCTATCGTAGTATCATAATTTTATGCTTGCTATTCTCTGTAATGTATTAGCTTAGTTTGTTTTATTTTATCTATTTACTTTTTTGGAACATTTTATTCCTTCTTAAACTTTTGTAACCATTGCCGATCCCTCCGGGGGATGTGTAAGCGTTAATAACATTATTATTATTATTATTAGTCTGTTTGAACACAGTCTGAAAATGAGGATTTGTGGATAGACCTCTACGTGTCTGTCTGTTCTTGCTTGCCCAAATTCAACTTCACACAATAATCATATAGCGATACATATGCTCATCCATTCATTTCATGATCTGATTTAAGATGGCTGATTGACGGATCGGATTTAAAATGACCAACTCGTGGCCATTTTATTTAACAAATGCTGTTCCAGAGCCATATCTCTGACATGTCTTCACAAATCTTTTTCAAACATTACAGATACACCATACATTATGTCAGACACATGTATGTACATTTGTTTGATGATCAGATTCAAGATTGTTGAATGGCGCAGCATTGTGCCAATGAACAATATACATATTATACAGCCAACACTTTTGTTTGAACATTTGTTCAGTGTGCAGCTTGAAACAGGAGGTGAGCCATAAAAAGATAAAGGAATATAAAAAGGTTGGGTTACCATGAACATACTATTTCTTTTGCTAAGGAGAGGCTTATAATTATTATTTATAGAACTATAGGAAATACAAGTGGTGTGGGATATAAGATAAAGACACTGTTGAGTGCAATCAGTTTTTCCAATAAAACAACTTAATAGAATCATGTATGTTGTGAAAATAAACTATCACTACTTATTATTTCTATGGTAACCATAGCTGGCTGGGTTTCTTAGCTGCACATATTTATTTTTCCAAAAGTTCAATTTTGCAAAGGGTTAATAAATAAGCAACTGTAGTTAAGACATGTCATGTTCTATGTGGGCCCATGTGACATATACTATTTATGTAAAATACATACCATATCTGCTCTGTTAGATGCACATCTGCATTATGAACATGTATAAACCAAAAATCACATTAATTTTGTTGTATACTAAATCATTTTGACCATTGACACACCTGTAATTTATACAAGTGTACAATGTATGATATTAATATATGATTGTTTGTTCACACACAATTTTGTCAAGGATGAATATAATTTTTTGTTGATTTGTCTATCCTACAGACAAGACTACAGACAGACTACAGACAGACTAATCCCCCAACATGTTTGATTCCAACCTACTGTTAATAAATTTAAAAATTATTTTGATATTCTTCAAAATATTTGTACGTTTGCAATTGTGATTTATAATAGTGGTATAGAATCATAATATACATGTATCTGTTACATTTTACTTATTGTTTTGAAGTGTTTGTATATGGGCCGGAGGCCTAGGAAAGCATACAATTTTCTAAACCGGGGAACAGGGGTGCAGCGCCCTGATAATCTCGGCTGGCGCCCTCTTACCAAATTGCCAATTGAACTTTCTAGTCATAAATATATTTCTTGAGCTGTGCAAGTCCGTGCTGCTGTACAACATGAAATCTTTCACAAATATATTTTTCTTCATGGAAACTTCCCAGCAACACCAGCTGACAATGTGTCTGGACACCAAATACACTAAAATTGAGATAAATGCACCAAAATGGCGTCGCTTCGCTCTCTCACCTGTTCATTTTTATAGAAAAAACCCTGTGGATCATGTGCTGTTCAATAATCACTAGCCTTTATTTTAATGTACATAATTATGTGTTCATTGTAATATTTGTATTCTAAAGTAGCCTTTGATATCATAAATGAAATGATTTCTTATTTCATGAAAACTATTTTTATGGTGTGGCCGAAACTATTATGTTTTTTATAATCACTATGCATGTTATAAATTGACTGCAGTAATTTACCCACCTCATTACACACCTAGCAGTAGAAAACAATAGAATTCAGCCATATGAAACATGAATGTTTCTTATTTGCTAAACGTGTCAAATTTTCCTCACATTTGTTTATGCCAAATTTGTCACTAATGAAGCACATAGAAGAATGTTACTAAATACAATGCATGCTCAAATTTCATAAGACACTTATGATATATGTTAATAAATTACTAAAAAAAGAATACCAAAAAGTTTGCTCCCAGGCAGTAAGGGATCACATTGACTTCTGCTACTGTGTATGCATTGGCTGATACGATTGCCATACTGACTGTGTGCATACTTTGTAGTATAATTACTAGAATAAGAATACCAGAAAGTTTGCTCTCAGGCAGTATGGGATCACATTGACTTCTGCTACTGTAAGCATTGGCTGATATGAATGCCATACTGACTTTTTATATACTTTGTAGTATAATTACTAGAATAAGAATAAGAATACCAGAAAGTTTGCTCTCAGGCAGTAAGGGATCACATTGACTTCTGCTACTGTAAGCATTGGCTGATATGAATGCCATACTGACTTTTTATATACTTTGTAGTATAATTACTAGAATAAGAATACCAGAAAGTTTGCTCTCAGGCAGTAAGGGATCACATTGACTTCTGCTACTGTATGCATTGGATTATATGAATGCCATACTGACTTTTTATATACTTTGTAGTATAATTACTAGAATAAGAATACCAGAAAGTTTGCTCTCAGGCAGTAAGGGATCACATTGACTTCTGCTACTGTATGCATTGGATTATATGAATGCCATACTGACTTTTTATATACTTTGTAGTATAATTACTAGAATAAGAATACCAGAAAGTTTGCTCTCAGGCAGTAAGGGATCACATTGACTTCTGCTACTGTATGCATTGGATTATATAATTGCCATACTGACTTTGTGCATACTTTGTAGTATAATTACTAGAATAAGAATACCAGAAAGTTTGCTCTCAGGCAGTAAGGGATCACATTGACTTCTGCTACTGTATGCATTGGATTATATGATTGCCATACTGACTTTGTGCATACTTTGTACTATAATTACTAGAATAAGAATACCAGAAAGTTTGCTCTCAGGCAGTAAGGGATTCTTGTGCACCTCATAATATTATAGTGTTATAACAAACCTGGCTATGAATTTAGATGAATAAAAATGGACTTGCTTAGACTAAAGAATATCACATGTGAATCTTGCCAAGGATTTATCAGTTTTTGGTTTGTAAGTTTTGTGATAAGCAAGAAGATCTCCTAAGAAGTGATCTTTTTCATTTCATGAGCATTTGAAAGCGATCCTGCAGTTTCAAATACTAGTAAAGAGTTTACAGTACCTGCTTTGTTAATAAACAAGGACAATACCAAAAATAATCTCAGATAAAACTAATCAGTTATTTCACAGACTCATTAGTATTTTCTAAAAAAGTCAATTTGTCTTACAATTTCGTGATCATCTGGTAATTGGTGTGACTTTTTAGCTCCGCTGTCGACTTTGTTGAGCGAAGCTTATCATATGAGTGATTGTCCATCAGCGTCCATGTCAACTTTTTACTTTTTTGACTTCTTTTTGAAAACTACAAGCCAGAATGCCTTGGGTAGAATTAATTCTCTAATTTTGGTGAATATTTTTGTTAAAAACTTAAAAAAGTGATATTTTTGACTTCTTGTTAAAAACCGCATGTCCGATAGCTTTGATATTACATATATAGGTACAACATGTGGACCTCTCTCAGATTTGTTCATTTTGTGATGATAGCTTTAATTCTCTAATTTTGCTGAATATTTTTGTCATTTTTGGTAAAAAGTGATATTTTCCACTTATTGTTGAAAACAGCAAGTCTGATTGCTTTGATACTATACATATTGTTCATGTTGTATTGATATCTTCTGTTCTTAATTTGGAATGTTCACAGCAGAGCTATCTCAGCTGCTTGTTCAATTAACATGATAACTTTGTTCACAGATCACACCACTAACAATTGATTGTCCTTTAATTACCAGATGTTCAATAAATGAAAAATGTTGTAAATTTAGAATGAATGAATTGGAAGAACGACTACTATATAGCGCACGTCATGGTGAACACGAGGTTGTCAAAGAATTATTAGATCTGCAGAAAGATGGCTCCATAGACCTGAATATCAATTGTAAAGGTAATATTGGTTTCTGACTTCCATCTTGTCTGTTTAAGTGGTTTTCTTTCCCAAATTTGGCGTATAGAGTAGCGTCTTCAAAAAGTACAGAATGATCCTTTTTGATGTACCTGTACCACATTGTGACAGCAAATGATAAATAATCCTCATCCGACAAACAATTAGGTTTGAACCTTTAAAAAAATAAATATGTTTCTAGGGGTAAATATTTTGGCCAGGCGTTTTGTACATTAATGGGTATAGTCAGCAATCAATAAACATGGTCACAAGACCAGTAATTTGCATATCCAATTGATACAGGGGATTTCATTGAGATTTGTTACATAAATTATTCATTTAGCAATACATGTTTCATACAGACAGATTCGTAGCCATCTTGCTTTTGGCCATATTACCGGTACTTTAACTTCAGGCATGAATAATATCTTCTCTAATTGCATTGGGGACTGTGCCCATAACAATGAGTAGTTATTAATATTGTATGACATAGGTTTTGTCATGTCAATAACTTTTTGGAAATGTCATTTTATGCTAAAATAAATAAGATCAATATATTTGCTTTATTAATAGCTCATGTTCGTTAGTATAGAATACAGAATACAATACAATTTTTACAATGTATGAATGTGTACAAAAATGTAATATAAAGCCTGTTTTCGATGTAGTGTTTGCGCACAGGAACACAGAAACCGATGTCATGCGTTACATATAAAACAAAGAAATTGCAACTTCACACAGACATGTCCATGTGTGTCCTCACAGCTGATCTGCAAATGTTCATTTGAGATAACCTCAATATATGTATGATTTACAGTAATTAAATACCCATCTTTGTAATTAAATTCATACTCTTCTTAACTTTATTAGGTCGGTCTAAAGCTAACAATGGCTGGAGTGCATTGCATCTTTCGTGTTACTTCGGACATAAAGAAGTTGTACATTTACTGTTGAAGTATGGTGTTGATGTTAATATCGTCAATCAGGTCGGCGACACACCATTACACCGAGCAGCGTATACAGGTAGAACGGTGAGTTCAAAATTAAGGGTTGATAAAAAAAAGGGTTCCTAAGTTAGGTTATGGTGACATTGAACATGAATGATATAATTTATAAAACTTATTTAAGTTGATTATGATTTCTTCACACTTGTGTAAAAAATCTCTAAGCTTGTATTGTGTGGTTTTAGAATGTCGTATTATGTTAGACTCAATCCTGTAAATTTCAAGTGGCACAAACTTACAAAATGTGCAAAGCCTTGATGATTGTACCAAATTTCAGAAGCTCCAAATATAAAGAATACTAAATAAAAAAAAATTTAATATTCGAACAGGAATTGGTTCTGTTGTTAATCCAGTATAATGCAGACGTGGCTGTAATTAATGGCGAAGGACACACGCCGAAAAATGTTACACATGTTGCTGAAGTCAAAAGATTATTGGAAGGTATGTAATAGGTATAAAGTTCATAGAATGGTCATATAGTTATTGTAATGATTGTCATACATGGAACATGTGGTTCCTGTTGATCCTACAGTAAAATTTGATTTTATATTCTAAGTCTCGTCACATATGCAAAATATTTCTACTGTGCAGTCTGAACTATTTGTTTGTAATCACAACGCATGTTAACAACTTGACCAAAGCGTGATACTATCCACTGGTGGACAACTGTATTTTGTGTAGTTGGCATGTTCTAGGTGCCATTCCACATTCAAGTGAGAGCAAGTAATCAAACAGAAACGACAGTTTGCAGAAGTTGAAAAATCACACAAGTATACCCAAACGGCATATTGTGATTTAACAGTTTTTGACTCCTGTGTGCGAAGCACAAAAAGGGAGTTTTTGCAGTTAATAGTGTGTCTGTCTGTGTGTCTGTGTGTGTGTGTCTGTTCCACTGCTATCTCAAGAACCATACATTGGTTTTTGATGAAACTTGGTGCATAGATGCTCTGGGCCAATGCGTAGATTTGATTTGGTTTTGGTAAAAATCCATGCATATTAATTACCTAATTTGCATGATAATTAACTGACTTTTTAGCTGTTCCATGACTGTTCCACTGATATCTAAAGAGCTACTCATTGGATTTTGATGAAACTTAGCACATAGATGCTCCAAACTAATGTGCAGATTTGATTAGTTTTGGGTAAAAATCTGTGCAATATTAATTACCTAATTTGCATAATGATTAATCAATTTTTGGCTTTTCCACTGATATCTCAAGTACTAATCATCACATTTCAATAAAACTTGGTACATAGATATCATAGGACACTGCGCAGACCTGATAGCTGTTAGGGTAATATTTAATTACCTAATTTGCATAATTAATTAATTTTCAGCTTTTGATATTTCAAGTAGTAATCATCACATTTCAATAAAACTTGATACATAGATGTCATAGGACACTGCACAGACCTGATAGTTTTTAGTGTAATATCAATACATATTAATTACCTAATTTGTATAATTAATTTTCAGCTTTTGATATTTCAAGTAGTATTCATCACATATCAATGAAACTTGGTACATAGATGTCATAGGACACTGCACAGACCTGATAGTTTTTAGGGTAATATCAGTACATATTAATTACCTAATTTGCATAATTAATTTTCAGCTTTTGATATTTCAAGAATTAATCGTCACATTTCAATGAAACTTGGTACATACATGTAGTTACTTAAGGACTGTGCAGAGATCTGATTAATTTTGGGGTAAATATTTGTGCATATTACCTAATTTGCATAATTAGTTATTTTTTCCCATGTATGTTCCACTGATATATAAAGAACCACTAATTGGATTTTAATTATTCATCATCACATTTCAATGAACCTAGGACTAAGCAGAGACCCAAGTAGTTTTTGGTAAATATTTATGCTTATTAATCACCTAATAAAAATAATTAACACTGATATCTCAATTACTGATCATCACATTTGAATAAAATAGACAGGCCCTATTAATTTTGGGTTGAAATTTGTTCATATTAATTCTCTAATAATAATTCATAGTCTTTTTGTTCTAATCACGTACATTTCAATGAAACTTGGTACATAGATATTACATTATGCAGGCCTTATTAGTTTTACACTCAAATCTGTTTATATCAGTTACGTGATTTACATATTTATTTATTAATTGGTTTTCAGCTATTCCATCAATATCTCAAGTACAAGTAATTTTTAATTAATTTTTAATGCGTCTTCAATACTCTCAGCACACGAGAGTTCTTTCTAAGCTTTCTTTGATGAAAATTGTTACAAAAATAAGTTACTGAATATCATAGGCAGTCATGACCAACAAAATTGCATGGCTAGTTTTAAATTAATTATATATCATGATTATCCCATCAACTGTGAAGTTGACCATAATTGTTTGTGCGTGTCTGTGTTTTGTTCGCAGTATGCTTTCAGTATACTCATCTAGTGGGGTATCTAGTTCCAAAAGAATTCTGCAGGGAAATCATCTGTATTCATTAAATCGTCTCGCATACCATAAAAACATGTATGATAAAGAGGTAATTACACATGTACATGACAACCCTATGATATCATCTGTTTTACTCATTATCTTTGTATTTTGACTCAAAGTACATATCACAGGGATTGTTATGTAATGTGGCAGAATTTTGAGTTGCCTGACTACCATATATGCAATTTAGTATCAGTTTCATTTTAAGAGGAATTTGTGTACACCCAGTCATCAAGAATATGCAGTTCAAATCAGGCTGATTACTTTCTCAGATTAGCATATAAGAATAATAAAGACAACATTGAAGAGTAGATTCTTATGTCTTCTGCGTCAACTTTTCCTATGATGCAATGCTTGAAGCACAAAATTCATAAAATGGTCTTAGCATATAAAAATAATAAATGCAATATTGAAAGGATACTAAGACAAATCTATTGGGCATCAAGAATATTGCCTTCAATGTCTCCATGAAGTTCAATCCAGGATTTTGAATCCTGTGTCTTCTGCGTCAACTTTTCTTGAAGGCCAAAATTCATAAAATGGTCTTAACATATAAAATAATAAATGTAATATTGGAATAACACCAATGCAGACCTATTGGGCATCAATAATATTGCCATCAATGTCTCCATGAAGTTCAAGCCCTAGAATTTTAATTCTGTGTCTTTTGTATCAACTTTTTCCATGATGCACTGCTTGAAATGGAGGTGAAATTAAAAGTCATAGACATTTGTGATCTTTAAAAATTACTCTTAAATTGTTGTCAGTGTTATAACTTATAATAGCAGCAGATTTCAACATTCAATTTGTTTAACAAACTACCTTATAACAATAACATGAATTTTAACTTTATTAAAAAATTAGTAAATTAATTTGTTATTTAGCTGCTGAAAAATCTCAACAAAGAAAGACAGAAGAGGAATTACTCGATGCTGCAAGAGATGGTGACATTAATACTTTGACAGTATTGGTAAGTCATCAGCCATGATGGATTTATGCTAATTATTGGGATTGGTAAGTTACCAACCAAGATGCATCTTGTGTAACAAGTGGTTTCATAATACAACAGAGTGTAAGAACACTTGTGTCTAAGCTGATTAATGGCGCCCTCAATGTTAACTCGGTGATTATCTTTTGTTTTTAGTCCAATGGTCTTGTAAACTTTCCTACAATTTCTATATCCTAATTACATGGATTTGTATTATTCGGAGTACAAAGAAAAAATACTTTTAGCTCATAAAATGTTTTACTGTTCCATTTAAAATAATAAGATGTTTACATTTGTGTCATTCTTAAAATAAATAAATGCTGGCTTTTAAAATAACTTCCCACAAAAGTTATTCATTTGATTAGGCATTTATTCATGCCAAAAAGATTTTTTGTTTGAGCACTTGTCAAAAATATTTTTTACTGTAACATACACTGCCATATAGAACATCTGTACAATATGTAGCACACCAAAAAGTTGAAGTACAAATATGAAATGAAATCATATGCCTGTGATCAAATAAAAAATCGCTATGATTAATAGACTATTTTTAGTTCACTGCCAGATCCCACATTGTCTGTGAAATCAAACAGAACAAACAAAGGTCATTGTGTTGGTGTGAAAGTGTTTTGTGGGGGGATCGTTGTAGTCAGTCAACACTGATTTGTGAGATCATATATCACAACCATGAAGTCATAAGGAACTGGATACAAATTAACCATTTGAGATACTCGCAGCAGGATATCTTTATTACTGGAACAGTACTACATAGAGTTTACAACTAGCTAAGAACAAAGTTACAGGAACAGCAATAAGCATAGTATACTGACACTTGCTTGGGTCCAGTCTAACACAAGGTGCTAAAAGGGGCTTATTTAAGGCATGGTCAGTAATCCAAAAGATAAACTTTCCTAATCCTGTACTAGGACAATGATTGGCTGAAAGATAATCCCCTTAACTGACCAATAATGTAATCATCAATTAAAAATGGCATACATTTACATGTTGAAATGCACATAACTTCTAACTAACATTACAATGCTTAATCAAGTAAATTCATTAAGAAAGACAGTAATTCGACAATACATATAAAACAAGAATGAATAAAATCAAGCAAGAATAAGTATCATTTCTAGACATTTAAATGCTACAAACTAACACAAACCCTAAAACATGTCAGAGTAAGCCAGCGATATGTTTTTTGGGTATTTCCACAATTAATAATGTGCTTTACACTTTTGCTGGAGTAATTCTGCCATAATTATTTCTGGAAGCTTGCTGTTTTGATATTGAACTATAAATAGAAGAAATTGAAGTTCAAAATCAAATCATTTAATTTTTGTGGCAGACTTTTGATCAATGTGAACGGTAAATCATCTGTTGCAGATTTTTATATTTTTACTTCTTTCATTAAAAAGCATTTTGAATTCAAATCCATAAATTTCATTTGTCCTGACGCATCAGCTTGTTGAGATTATAGGTGCTGAAATCAAAACAAACACCACTGGCAATGTTCCTAGGAATATTGTATTGTTGCAAAGATATTGATATGGAGATAGCGGTTTATTTTGTTCCCATTGTAACATGTGTTGTATATGTCGCATGGGACCATGTGGCACTTTAATTTTTAGTTTGGTTCTGAACCACCGATATAATGCTCTCGTTTTCAGTTAAAAAGTAGCTGCCCTCCTAACATACAGTGTACTGATGTAATGGGAAATGGACCCTTGCATTGTGCTGCTTACAGAGGACACAACGAGGTAGCCGTGGTGCTATTGCAGAATGGCATTGATCCAATGCTGCAAAATAACAATGGACAGACTGCACTGGACCTTGCAAGATCTCAGAGCATGAGACAGTTGTTGGATGTGAAACCTATTAAGGCAATACAGAAAGATGTTGTGCGCTTTGAAGGCGACTTACTAAAGAGATCACGGCTATTTGGATGGAGACAGTACTGGGTGGTATTGGACAAAGGTGTATTGTCTTTCTTTTACAAGAGGTATAGTATCCAAAATCTTATTTTTTTGTATCCTTAAGGTAGCGGAATAGTTTTTTGGGCACTTTTCACATTTTATTTTGAAAATCACAAGCATAGCTCCATAAGGCATGCCACATACATTAGTGTATTTATTTTATTGAAAAAATAATATCTTGTACAAGTAAACTGGTTTTTTTCTTGTGTGCAAACAAATACCCAAGTTTTTTGTTTATCCATTGTGCACCCCATGAGTGCTTCTCATTAATATTCATGCCTAACAAACATAACTGAACTGGGGCTAAGCTATTTACAAACAACTGATAAGATATCTGTTTGTAGTTTACACACAGCTGATAATACAGTCATGCAATACAGTTTCATGACATTTTTTTATTATTGTGTAATAGATCGGTTATTGCGATACAAGGTCATATGTGAAAAAATTTGGATCATCAAACAATTTGTTGAGATACCAGTAAATGTGTTATTACCCTCTGCAGAGTTAATACATGGAACTTATGTAGAAAAAATAAAACATGGCCCATTTTAATTACCGATTGTGATTTTTGAAACTCAAGATAATGAAACATTGTGCCTGGAGTTACATTTAAAAACAAATAATTGCAGTGCAGACCTATTTGTAAAGATACGACAGTTTCAGTAGTTCACTCCATGCTAATACATAGGTGATAGAACCTATTCTCATGTGAAAACTCCAATTTGATCCCACCACCATTCAGGATACTGTAAACCATTGTATTGATCAACCATAACAGGGGTTTTTCTAGGAAAAAAATCCAAGAAGGAGCACTGCAATTTAGCGACGCCACCAAGTGGGGGAGATACGGTTCTCACTCCCTGGAGCATTCTATGGCTTCCTTGGGGCCAAAATTACTATCAGACAGATCACAGTTGAAGACTGTTGCCACATGTGATACCTGGTAATCAGAATTTTATGGTTGCCAGAGGATCTGCTCCCTAGGGTGGGGGCGCATGACCATATCACGAGGGCGCTGTGCCCCTGTTCCCTTGTTTAAAACAATCCCTTCATAATGTACTGACATAAGTGACAGAGATGTGTCTATGGTCAAATTACCATAAGTTATTTTTTAATGATGCATTACCATATTTTCTGTATTAGTAGCTCACTCACTTTATACGTAAATGACAGAGGTGTGTTAATGGTCAAATTAAGTCATATTTTGATGATGCATTACAGTATTTACTGTATTTAGTAGCACATGTGCTTGCGTAAATGTCTGTGGTAACAATAAGTCATATTTAAATGATATGCATTAAACGCAATTTTTGTTTTTATGTGCTTATTATATATTATATTATAGTATGTTATTTTTCATGTGGCAATAAATTCTTCTTCAAATTAGCCATTGAACATTTTACATGACACACAGATCAATTCAATCATGTTTCCATAGAAACGGGCATTAAGAGTCCATGCTTTTAATTGTCTTTCACAACCTGTTGCACAGTGGGACAATATTAATCTGTAAAATACAGCAGCAAACAGGTAAATTAAATCTATCTCTGGTGTCAATACATATTTAATTTGTCTTTCACAGAGCTGATTCTACCTCAGGAGTTAAACGACAAGGATTTCAATATTTAGCCTTAGGAACTGTCATTGTAAGTATTTAAGTGTTTGAGTGTTGGGTAGTTATTGTCTCCAGTGCTGGTGTTAGCAACAATAAAAGGCGTAAGACTGATGAAATAATTTGGTGCGAGTATGTGAATTGAATTTTTTTTGAATTAATGGGAATAATCGAACCTTTAATTTTTTTACTTCATATTTTTTTTTGAAACAAAACTTAACAAAACCTTAACCTTAACAAAACTAGTGGTTTAAAGTCATCACATTTTTTACATGACACATGTCAATAAGATTCAGTTAAAATTCATCCCAGCTGACCCGTTGGACATCAATGTCAACTTTTGTTACCTTTCAATAAATATAACCCTAATAATTTCCATATTTGTAAACCCCTCTCAACACTTATGTTTTGGGCTTAATTTGTCTATCTGACATCATTACTTGGACATGCCTAGACTGATTTTATGCAAAGTTGATCTGAAGTCAAGACATAATGATAACATTGAGCACATTGATTTCCCTTTTGTTTTTGTTGATTTCCTACCCATGGTTATTCATGATTTATTACCAAAAGCAACATTTGAACATGTTTCAGAGGCATACCTTGGCCAATATTATATATGAGCTCCACTGTCATCAAAAGGAGGTATTTATATAGGTAACTGTCTGTCATTGTCTGACATCAGTCATTCATCAACAATTGCATTTTCAACTTGAAAACTACTGCTTTAAGTAGTTCTTTGTCAGATTTGTTGATATCTTTAATTACTTGTTTTTATAAAATATTTTTTTTTCATTTTGGGTAAAAAATGCTTTTTTTGACTTCTTTGTGAAAATTGTGAAAACACTACTCACCATGGCATATATCTCATCGTACAGAATACTATCAACTTTGTTTTGAAGGAGAAACTCTACAAAGACACTGGATCCCTTTTGACCATCGGGTCACTTATTTAAACTTGGCATTGACTTCCTGAATGATTGATTGATGTACATCAGTTTGTTTTATGATTTGATTTAACATGGTTGAATGGAAATTTTGTTTAAATCTGGTACAAACCTAAGACATATAATGGTTTCTTAATCTCTCCGATTATTTTAGGTTTTGATGATATTAACTAACTGTCGGCCATTTTGTTTTATTTTTTAATTGTTCACTTGACCAAAAAGGATTGTCGTAACGGGTTTCATTGCAATACCAATTTTGTTGGTGCGGATGCCATGATATCCCATGGTATCTTTACCTCTTTTGTGTTGTCAAATGTAAGTGTTGCCAAATCCAGTACACTACACTGCTCGGTTTAAGTGCGTATTTATTTGTCTTTGCAGCCCAAACCAGATAATGAGTACATATTCAGTATAAGATATTCTGATCACACTTTACATAACTGGATGGTTGGTCATGCTGATTCTTCACAAATAAGTAGACAGGTTAGTAATATATATGAAGTGATAATAAAAATTACATCATTGTTTTGTTTTTTTTCAATTTTATTTTCACCCCAAAATATCAGCAACCATTTGATTACATGGAGTGTGTTAAATTCCTCTGGAAGGTGTCATGAGCAATAATTAAATAATCTATAATGTCTATGTTATGTGCAATTTGCATTTCTTTTTTTGTTCGCTATTGAAATTTAAATCCTAAAGGTTATTACTTCTTCCAAAAGGTTAATATGTTTTTATTTGTCTGTCATCAGGATAAGTCATAATGTTATTGGCACATATTTATAAAAAGGGGTTGTTCTTAACACATCATATGCTGTGAGCTTCCTCCATGAACAGCCAATATGAATGATATATACCGGTAATAGCATCACTAGGCGATGTGTTAATACAAGGATAAATTGATTTGGATACCAGTTACCATGGTAACAGCAAATTTGGGAATGATATCTACATTGATAAGTCATAATGTCATTGACAAATTTGCATGGAATTGTTGGAATGAGGGGTACCCTTGATAAAAGGATCATTTAGATTTTGGAATGGATTTTGATCTGGTTACTATAAGAGCACATACTTACAAATGCTGAGATGTACCAGTAAAGAATACTTTAAATTTGCTGCTGTGGTGACAGTTTGCACTCTCCAAGTATTTGTTTTCGTATTTAGACTTGTAGGATTAGGATTAGAAGCATACCGAAGTTAAATTCAAAGTCAAATCACCTATCACACAATAAACCTACATATTTAAAAAAAAAAAAAAATGTTGTATGTAATCAATGGGAAATTGCATCCATTTTGTCTAAATAAAAACCTGAGTGTCAGTAATTTTCTCAAGATTTTGTCTTCACCAAGTGCCATCAAATCCTCAAAATGTGAAAATTCCTTGCAGCAAAAATTACATAGTTTACAGTATCTGCATCCCTGCTAAAACACCATGACAGAAGGTTTGATATTGTGAGAATCTGATTAATTGAAGAAGAAAAAACAAAGAAACTCTTTCTCAAAGATTCAGAAATAACAATGACGATATATTGATTCCTTTCAGAAATGGATTAATGCAATTGAAAGCCATATTGAGTACAGTAATCACTATACAACACAGTCCTATATGGAGGATGAGGAAGACATTGAAGATGATTTAGTGCCTTTAGGATCAATGCAAGATGCTTTGCAGGTACTTACCTTATACATGAAAAATATTTGAAATAGAATGGATACAAAATAGATTTTCAAAATAAGAATGGATTTAACTATAGAAATAGTTAATGCTTTAGAAATACAACGATTTAGATACAGAATGATTCAAAAATACAATGGTATAGATACAGAATGGTTTAGGAATACAATGGTTTAGATACAGAATGTTTTAGGAATACAATGGTTTAGGAATACAATGGTTTAGATACAGAATGATTTAGGAATACAGTGGTTTAGATACAGAATGGTTTAGGAATACAATGGTTTAGATACAGAATGATTTAGGAATACAATGGTTTAGATACAGAATGATTAAAAAATATAATGGTATAGATACAGAATGTTTTAGGAATACAATGGTTTAGATACAGAATGGTTTAGGAATACAATGATTTCGATACAGAATGATTCAAAAATACAATGGTATAGATACAGAATGGTTTAGGAATACAATGATTTAGAAACAGAATGGTTTAGGAATACAATGGTTTAGATACAGAATGATTCAAAAATACAATGGTTTAGATACAGAATGGTTTAGGAATACAACGATTTAGATACAGAATGGTTTAGGAATACAACGATTTAGATACAGAATGATTCAAAAATACAATGGTATAGATACAGAATGGTTTAGGAATACAATGGTATAGATACAGAATGGTTTAGGAATACAATGGTATAGATACAGAATAGTTTAGGAATACAATGGTATAGATACAGAATGGTTTAGGAATACAATGGTATAGATACAGAATGGTTTAGGAATACAATGGTATAGATACAGAATAGTTTAGGAATACAATGGTATAGATACAGAATGGTTTAGGAATACAATGGTTTAGATACAGAATGATTTAGGAATACAATGGTATAGATACAGAATGGTTTAGGAATACAATGGTATAGATACAGAATGGTTTAGGAATACAATGGTATAGATACAGAATGGTTTAGGAATACAATGGTTTAAATACAGAATGGTTTAGGAATACAATGATTTAGATACAGAATCAAAAATACAATGGTATAGATACAGAATGGTTTAGGAATACAATGGTTTAGATACAGAATGGTTTAGGAATACAATGGTTTAGATACAGAATGGTTTAGGAATACAACGATTTAGATACAGAATGATTCAAAAATACAATGGTATAGATACAGAATGGTTTAGGAATACAATGGTTTAGGAATACAATGGTTTAGATACAGAATGATTCAAAAATACAATGGTTTAGATACAGAATGATTTAGGAATACAATGGTACAGATACAGAATGGTTTAAGAATACAATGGTTTAGATACAGAATGATTTAGGAATACAATGGTACAGATACAGAATGGTTTAAGAATACAATGGTTTAGATACAGAATGGTTTAGGAATACAATGGTTTAGATACAGAATGATTTAAGAATACAATGGTTTAGATACAGAATGGTTTAGAAATACAATGGTTTAGATACAGAATGATTTAGAAATACAATGGTTTAGATACAGAATGATTTAGAAATGCAGTGGTTTAGTGCTATAGAATAGTTTGGGGTAGAATGGATTAGAATTCTGATTTGCTTGTAATCTATTTGTCATTAATACCATCAATAACAGATGGATTTACAATCATTTATAGTGCTAATAATGTTCTGGTATTTCTCCAGAGTGTAGAATAATCTATAAACATATGTAATTTACAGAATGCCAAAGCACATCAACAAGTACTAGAAAGACAAGTAGATGGACTTACATCTTTGTTAAATAATCTTGTAGAAGAAAAGAATGCAGTGAAACAAGGTAAGTTGAATGTGGCTGAGGCTATACAATAAAACTAGGGTTTAATATGTTCCAGTAACCAAACTTTGCTTAGATTTTACATGCCAACCCTATATTTTTTCATAACCAAACTAAAAAGTGATCAGGAGTGTTTTCATTACTTTCTGCAGCCTGAACAAGTTCTTAAGTCACCCATACATGTACATCATCTATTGTGACAATTTTATTTGCAAAAAGTTCTAACCTGTTAACAGTATATAATTCCAACATTCCCAGCAGTAACTTGTTTACGGCAATTGCAATAGACCATTTTCCGTTCACAGCGAGAATCACGCGTTATGCCTGAAATCGAACGTAAAAACAGGACAAACAAAGGTCATAGCGTCGTAGTCGCGTCAAACATCGCGTGGGATTCGACAAACGCGAAAGTATTTCGGGGACATTCCCATGCTTAATATAATGTGCTGTCCACATTTGATGATAGGCAATTTCGATTAAGTAAGGGTATTCGAAAGCAATATTCCTCTGTCGAAGATCAGCCGGTCAATGTAAGCTGCGAAATAAAGAAATTCTAGTTCAAAATCAAATCGTTCGATTTTTGCGGCAGACGTTCGACGCGCGTCTTTCATGCATCTCGCGAGATCTCGCAATTGTACGGAAAATCACCTATTTAATACAAATTTATACCTATATACCTTGTCACAGTGTAAGGCCTGCTTATTGCTATTGAGAGGGTCACTCACAGAACTCACACTGGACAGGGGGTTCTTTCACTGTCAGGACAATAGTACTGAAAATGAAATACACATACACCAAATATCAATATCAAGCTCCTGGCTTTACTACCGCTCAAAATAATTACAAGAAACAAAGCACAGAAAAATACACTACAAAATGTTTGCGACTCTATGTGCCATTTCGAATTGAGAATTGGTTAAAATACTTGCAATTGTGGTTCATAATTAAAAGACTAAATTGGTTTAGCTTTTAGTCCCTGTTCTGAATAAAGTCTAAAATCAGGGAATATTAATTTGGGTTTCGTCTGTCTGCATGACCATTCGTCCTTGTATGTGTCTTGAGCAATTTCTCCAACATACTTTGATGATCTCATTCAAACTTAACACACAGACCATGTATGATGACTTATATAAGCATAACAATTTTCATTACCATTTGGTAAGTATTGCTGACTAACAGCCATACTGGTCCTAAAAATTGCTAAATTCTGATACTTGAAAGTGTTCGAAGTGGCTGATGACAAGGCGATTTTTTTTAAACTTTGAATCATGATCATGCATATTGGGTTACAGGTGCATGTAATATTTTATTCATGATTCAAACAAAAATGGTAGATTGGCGGCCATTTTGTTTGCATTCATGCTGATATGTTGCCTGAGATTCAGTTGAAAGTTTGCATACAATTACTATAGTCATGCGATAATAATTGTAGATTGTGCTACTTTGTGTGACTTGATCAAATTTGTCGAATTGACGGTCATTTTGTCTAAAATCCTAAAATTGCCATCTGTAAATGTGTCCAAATAGACTCTGCCTTTACAGTTCATTGCCAGCAATGACTGATAGCATCACAGCACTATTTAGTCAAATGTACACCCACATTTTGATCACTGCTAGTGATGGAATTTGGCATTTAATATGGAATGGGGAACTGTGTATTGTCAAACGGGGACTTATAATTCGGTCTCCGTCCGTCCGTCCGTGCTCCGTCCGTCCGGAGTCATATCTCAGAATCCCTTGGACCGATTCCGTTCATTCTTTGCATGTGCCTAGTACTTTATGTGGGACATATGCACATGCAGTGGTTTAGTGATTCGATTCAAAATGGCCGACTGGCAGCCATCTTGTTTTTTGAAAATGTTATTTTTTGGACATGCTTTGTCAGTTTTCATTCAAACCAGGTACATAGATTATACATATTAGGATACATGTCCATGACAATTTATTTCACAATTGGATCAAAGTAGACCGACTGGCAGCCATCTTGTTTTTTGAAAATGTCATATTTTGGAAATGCTTTGTTAGTTTTCATTCAAATTTAGTACATAGATCATACATGTTAGGATACATGTCTCCGACTGTCCGTGAGTTCTTTAGTCTGTCCGTCCAATTTGTTTCAAAATCTGGTCAAGGATAGTCGATTGACAGCCATCTGACTTTTTGGCTTTCTACTATATTTCCACAATTTATGTACCATTTTCATTCGTATTTGGGACATACATATCAGTGTGTTTCATAATCAGATCAAAGATGGCCGAATAACGGCTGTTTTTATTTTTGGCCATATTACTACTACATGGAACACGTGTTTTGATGTAAGTTAACAATCTGTTGTATACGCTTCTTGAAACTCAAGTTTCAAGGACACGCTCGCGACAACCCTTCTGCTTTAATATGACGAGCACAAAGAGAACTTTAAAAAAATTTAACAGGGACTGTGTCATTTTCAATGACTTGTTTTATTTCTATTTTTCTAAAATGTTGACAAAAACCAGAAAATGAAAGCTGATGCTCACGTTGCAGGATGACCATAAACCAGAATATTAATAGTACCCCGTAGTATTTCAAGGCATTTGTATGCACAGTGTATGTACAAATTAGGATTTTGAAATATATGCTGAATTTTGAATCTCAAAGCTACACCTAGTGTACAGTAATTTAGTTTTGTTATTCAGAGTCTTTTTTTGTATGGAAAATATGATTTGATTTAATATCATAACTGAATAAAAATCTGAGAGGAAAAATGTTGCAAGTGCTATTTGCTGTAATAATAGCACACATTGATCAAGAAATGCTTTTATTGAATACTAGATCACATTACCCGGTATCACTTTAACTGTGTATACTGTATCAGAATTCCATCTCCAATACAAACACATATAACGGTAAATTAAATTGCATATTTTGTATACTGTAAAATGATTAATTATTCACTGGGTTTTAATTTTGCTTATTTCGCTGACTGGAAAATGCGCTAAATTAAAACCCAGTGAATATGTAAAATTTAGCATAGAACACATAATCTAAATGATAAAACCGTGAATTTAAAACCCACTGAATATGCCTGAAATGGTAAATCAGCGAAATTTAAACCCAGTGAAAATTAGTCATTTTACAGTACTGAATCATTAAATTATGACTAATTGTTTTGATCATAAAAACACCACTACACTATTAATACAGCAAATATGGTACATGCTTTTTGAATATAAACTTGCAAGTAAAATGTGTCTTAACACATCGCCTACCAATGCCTATACCATTCATATTTGTGGAGGTTTTCAGCAGATGATGTGTGAAAATGAAATTTTGTTGTATGAGGGCGCTATTATAGCTTTTTATGGTTCATACGTAAAGTGTAACAAACTTTTCTTTCATTGTACACTGTACCCGCATTACTGGGGCTATTTTAATGCAGTCTTATTTATGCTCTGATAAGCCGACTTTGCACAGGGCTGGGCAGGGACAAAGGTTATAGTCTGTTCTCTGTATAATATACTTAGTTTGCTCACCTACCGTATATGCTCTATAGCGCTTACATAAATTATGGATGTTTTGATAGACAAAAAGTAATATTCACTGATTCAGTATACCACAAATACAATTTTATGTTATAATGCATTTCTATGGAGATGGGCTTCTCATAGAGAAAACATTCAGACTGTATAATAGGAGTGCATATATGTCAAAGCAATTTTAGGGTATAAAATTAATATGCAGTACGGTAATAGTAGCTAAAATTAATATGTTAATCCAACCCAAGCTAATAACATCACAGTGGGGTGTTTCGGGAAATGTACTGGTTATGATGTTTGGAGGCCAAACAGTGACTCTAAACACATCTTGGTAGGACCAGGAAAATATATTCTAATGATTCCACTTATCTGTTTGGCCGTTTGATGTTACATATATGGGTGTGTTCTCCTGAAATGTATCATGGCGCATGAAAAGAGCTACCGGTAGTTTGTAATGGCAGCCAATGTATGCAACTGTCAATCACAGTTTGAGTAAACTAAAATGATTATCCCCTAGATGTATATTCAATGTTGGTTACAAGCAGTATATGAGTAATCATTAGTAGTGTATCTAATCATTAGTGACATTAACGATGTGTGAAAGGAAACAATATATAGCACTCTATAATCATATAATTTTCAGCAATCAAATGCAACACAGCTATAAGAAGTTTTTTTTAGTCCCTGTTTTGATAAAACCCATTTGAGATCTGTCTCTGTGTTCTGAGCCTTTTCTCAGACATGCTTTGATCGATCTCATTCAAACTTCACATAAGACAATGTTTAGCTACTTACATATGCATGCCAATTATTTTTGTCATTTATTCAAATATGGCTGACTGGCGGTCATTTTTGTCGTCAAATCTGCTCATTTTTCATAGTTAAATGGAACCTTTTTGAAGATGAACAGGGCAAAAATGCAACAAAATCAAACATTTTCCCCATTCCAGAACTACATCTCAGTCACGCATGGATGGATTTTGTTCAAACTTGTGACAGACATCAAGTCATATATTCTGGAAATTGAAAGTCACTCATTAACTGATTGATTTCAAACTTGGTCTATACAATGAACATCATAGACCTGGAGACATGTAATTTTGTTTCCTGATTGGGCCATTCCAGTTTATATCTGCACTGTTGATG